CTTTTAAAAATCCCTTTATTTTTAAAAAATCTTCCTATGTTCTGGTGCAGCTCCATCCTCTTATTTTTCTGGAGAAAACTGGAGGCAGAGCAGAACAGTGCCCAGACATGCAAAACATGTCTGCACTTTGCAGAGCATGGCTCTAGTCACAAGAGCTTCAGATTCCTGTAGAGAGAAGCAAAGAAAAATGGAAGTTGGACAAACTGAAATTCCTCGATAAATGGATCCAGTGGGTTTTTTTGTCTTTTTTTTTTTTTTAGTTACCTCGGTACTGAGAGCAGATGAGGGTATGCTATAAGATGGGCATAGGCTGTTGTTGACTTACGGCAGAAGCAACGGTTCAAAGGTTTTAGGAGGGATTGGTCCTTTTTTTCCAAACCCATCTCTGCCATCTGCAAAGCTTGTCTGTTTGAGTTCAAGCAGGGGAAGGATTTGACCGTAGAGCTAGTCTTTTTGTACGTGGGGACTTACATCCAAAGGGAGCTAAAAGATCATAAGTGTTGACAGTTCCTTTACTGAGATTAGTTTTCAGCTTATCCTCTGTGGTTGCTGGAAGCTTGACCTGGTCACAGGTAATAAAAGAAGTGACAGTGTGTGACTTTTGCACATGACAACCATTTGCTTGAAAAATCAAAAATGTGAAACCTTTCTGCAGAAATATCTAAAAGGAGAGCAAGATTTGTGCCAACTTACCTTTGTGATTCTTGGCACTGGGTTCAGGTTCCTTGCAAAGCTCGCTGTTCTCAAAGCAACGCGGCTTGTAAGGTTGCAGGGATGTCCCCAGCCACCCCAGTTGTCGTTATTAATGAAGTTCCAAGGGAATTATAATTCACTGCACAAATGGAGTGCCAGTCTTCTTGTTCTGTGGCTGTGCCATGCCTACATAAGCATCGTATCCTTTACTGGGGCTGATGGTTGTTCCAGCAGGAAGGATCCCATTCGGAATTTTGCTCAGGTCTCCTGAGGGATGATGTATGGGAAAGGCAACTGCAGCAATGTGAGCTGCTTCGTGTGTGGGTTCCCTGTAGATACACATCCTTGGGAAAATTCTAATGATTATTTTTACCTTGATTTTACTTGATTGCTTATAATTTAATTTTTCTTTAAAAGAAGCCACAACTGAAAGGTATTTTAATTAGTGCACCTTAATTAGAGAGGCAAATGTTGTGTCAGAAAGGTTAAGTTTAGGTAAAACTGCCTGATGTGTAACTAAAACAATCAAAAAACAATTAAAAAAATCTGACTTGAGGTAGATGTTGTTTTTGTTATTTTTTAAAATTCAAGGATCCTCCAGATACATTTTCATTCTATAGTAGGGTTCTTCTGGAAAATTTAAAAAACTGGCTTTGGAAGGGAAAAAACCCCATATATTTGTATATTTAAAGAGTTATCAAGGGAAAAACAAATCTGTTTGTTAGTTCTTGCTTTCACTGAGGTTGAAAATTCCCAAGTCACTGTTCTGTCTCATTAAATTGGATGGTGGAGGTTGTGTGCATCGTCATCTCTTTGAATATAGTGCTGTTAAATAAAAAGACAAGATTACTTCCTCATTAAGAGTTTTAGCTGACTACCTCTTCACAAACGTTTTCTTTAATGTAACATGTTTTCATATTTGTAATTCTTGTGTAAATGAACAGATGGGAACATTTTGCTTGTAAAACTTCAGGATTATTTAGGGAAGGGGTAAATGATGAGGTTCTGTGCTTGTTGGTACTTCCAACGTGAGTTTATCAATTCATAATTCGCTGTGAATATCACTTTAAAAGTTCCCACCCTCCTGATCTTGAGTTCTTACAAACAATATCCATGTACGTACAACTGTGACTTCCTCATCTGACCTAGGGAAAGTTTTCATGTAGGTGCATATAACCAGCTGATTGCTTTCCTTCCTAGCACACAGACCTGTGGTTTAGATTTAAAAGAAAGAAGAAAATGAGTAAGTGCAAGTACTTTGAAGATGGGAGAAGGCGATTGCTGTCCTTGGCACTATCTCCATAGGCAGGTTGTTCCTTTTTCTGTAGGAAAAATATATGACCAGTTTTGAGAGAGTTCCTTTTAGACTGACACCATTTAAATTGGACTCTTCAGATGTTCCGAATTGCTTCTACCATCAATTCTTTCACAGTGTTAATTCCTCTGTGGGAACTTCTGTAGTGGTTTTGTCATCCAAGCCTACAGAAGCGAGGCGTGCAGAGCAGCGCTTCATCTGAGCTGCTTTGGGGTTGTGAACACAGAAATTTACTCTTTGGTGTAGAATAGCCATGACGAGGTCTAGAACCTACTGCAAGCAGCTTTTGGGACAAACTAGCATGGCTTGGCAACTGATTTATGTAGTTGAACATAGCACTTATGCAAAATCCGTGATAGACTGTCAATATCTGTCAAGACAGAAATAAAAAGTTTTGTGCCTTAATAAGCTAGGAATGCAGGGAAATAAATTATTTCTGTGCTTCAGCATATTCACATGAAAGATAATGTCGTTAGGAATAATACAAGGAATGAGCAGTGCTTATTCCATTAGGAGTTATCTACAGACGGTACCCCATTACGGTGATGAGGTGTCTCAGTGCGAGGACACATTCTTACAGCTGAAATCTATACATCCCTCAGAGATTGCCTTGGAAGCCAGAAGTAAGACAGTAGAGCCATTCAGGACAGAAAAGAAAGCTTTACACAGCTAGGACTGCATGCGAATGTTAGGTTTTTTGAATATAATTACTGCACTGGAATTTATCCAGGATAGCTGTAATCTTGTCAAAAATGCCATGGGATTTTTTTTTTTATTTTTTTTTTTCAATAGGCAGAGATGATTTTGGGTTTACATCTTATCCAAAAGAATGAATTTTCATTTCCACAGTACCCTGCTAAGCTGGATAACAAATTCTTGATGCTTTTTTGAACATTAACATGTCTGGTATAAGAGAGGGAGCTGTTGTGGTGAGTTGACCCTGGCTGGATGCCAGGTGCCCACCAAAGCCGCTCTGTCCCTCTCCTCAGCTGGACAGGGGAGAGGAAATATAATGAAAATCTTGTGGGACAGGGAGTAATCACTCACCAATTACCATCATGGGCAAAACAGACTCGACTTTGGGAAATTATTTCAATTTATTACCAATCAAATCAGAGTAGGATAATGGGAAATAAAAACTAAATGTTAAAAAACTTTCCCCCCACTCCTGCCTTCTTCCTGGGCTTAACTCCCACGGGAGACAGTCCTCCATGAACTTCGCCAATGTGAGTCCTTCCTGCAGGACCACAGTTCTTCACTAACTGCTCCAGCGTGGGTCCTTCAGGAACAGACTGATCCAGTGTGGGTTCCCCATGGAGTCACAGGTCCTGCCAGGAGCCTGCTCCAAGGTGGGCTTTTCCTTGGAGATGGAAGGCTGAATTGGGGAAATAATCACGAGGGACTTTTGTGCGTAATTCAGATGAATGGATGAAAGTTAAAAAAAAAAAGGAGGATGTGTTTTGGAAAACACAGCTCAATAAGCCTTTGTTTTCCTGCTCTAGACTACTACCCTTTTGAAGTACTACTGCATATAAAATCTAGGATTTCAGACATCCTTTTGGTTCTCTCTTGCAAAATGATGAGCCTATGATTGCATTGCTTGTACATCAGTTCTCCCAAGCTGGACACTTAAGATGAACAAGTAGTGCATGCCATCTTCAGCCCAAAATCTTTATCTGCTTTTGAAGTGGCAGCAGCCGTCTTAATGTATAATTTTCACTTCCTAGTATTTCTAATCTTTCACATGACTATGAAATATTGACTGGCTAAAACCAGCCTGTCATACATCTAAAGGTAAGACAGGCAAAAGAGTGGAATCTCACATCTTTACAACTTTATAGCCTGATAGACTCAAAAGGAGGAAAAGTAGTAAAACCCATGCTTTTGTCAGCGAGGTGGGTGGACGAAACCCTGAGCACACAGCCTAAACAGACTGATGGAAAATGAAATCTGTGCTGATCTTTGCCAGTCGGTTTTCCACTAGTAAATGTACTTTTAAAGTCTCTGTCAGCTGGGTCTTGCAGAGTAGAACTGCCATCGCAAAGTGACTAGGAAAATCTTTCAGTGTCAGAATGGTGAGCGGAGCTGGAGACATCGCAAAGGTGGTGCTGATAAAAGAGCATAGCAGGTGATACGTGTTTTTTGAAGGAGATATACTATGGGGTCTTTGTTTTTCTGAGCAGCTTCTGTGGTCTTTGCAAGCCTGTCCGTAGCCAGGCAGATATTTGTATCTAAAGGATGAACTACATGACACTTGTTCAAATGTACATTTAATTCCATCCAATCCAAAGACGGACTAAGGAATATTTTGAGAAAATGTAGGTTTTCATGTAGTGTGTGAAACTGAACTTTTGAAGTTTGTAGAAGCATGTGGAGGCTAATAAGTTTTGGTTATCTTTCATATGTTTGTTCATTAATTCTATAGTTGAAGTTCATAGATTCAGAAAGTAACAAAAAAATTTACCCAAATTCCCCAAAGTGAATGTTTGACTTCATACACTCTTATCTGAGGCCCTTTGTGTTCAGGAGTCCACAACATCCAATAGACTTAATACAGCTTGTCAATCTAGTAGTTTTTTCATCATTTTTTGTGCTTTACTTGAAATAGTTCCATAGCAGTTCTATAAAAAGATGTTTTGGTAGCTGTTCGCACATATCTCTGAATATAAATAGTACTTTTAGTCTCTAGTGCCACCGAGGAGTCTGTCTGCATGAAAGACTTGGAGATCTGTGCTTGTAAAGCCCTCAAACTTTAGGAAACTCCATTCTGTAGCTATAGAAGGGAATAACTGACATGGCAACCTGATAGTGTTTGTGTTTGGCTTTTAAGTTGTTTGATGCATTGACCTTGTCCTTGTTAAGAGTTTTCTGCTCAGCAAGAAGAGCTCTGTTGGTGCGCTTTTGGGCACAGCATGTTAACATAGCGCACATCACTGGGGAGCTGATAGCTTTTGGAAAGATGCTCATTGAGTGATCTTTTATCTTTTTACAGAACCACGTAAACCCAGCGATGGATTTTACGCAGACCCCTCCAGGAATGCTAGCCCTCGACAACATGCTGTACTTTGCTAAACATCACCAGGATGCTTATATACGGGTAAGGCTTCTTCTCGTCTTTGAGATCTGTGCGGTTGCCTCTTCACGCTGATTATGTCCTCTTTACAGTTGACTTTGAAGAGGAGGTTCAGAATCCTGATACCCTTAAAAACAAACTCTAGGAAGACAAACCATGTAAAACTAAAACATAAGTCTGTAAAAGCTTTGGGAAAAAGCTGTACAGTTGCCTAGTGTGTCTTTGCTGAGTCAAATATTACAGATATTTTTGCAAATGTTACTTTTTGCTTAGGCCTGCAAAGAGAAGGGGGATGAACTTGTGCTTTTTCAGATGTGTGATGGGTGTCCATAAGCTCAGAAATGTGTAATTGTGCAGAATTCTCTGCCCTGCTCAAAGTCTGATAGAAACAGTCGGGATTTTCTGCAGAAAGGAGGCTGTGATGAGCAGACGCCATGATAAGTGACTGAGTTGGCATTGTCATGAGAGTTAAGATGCTCCCACTAGAACTACTGCTGTAGGTGAGGTAATGATTGGAGAAAAATAGGTATAAAGCATCATGATTCACTTGTGCAACCTGTTTCTGCTCCCTGCCTGCTCCACTTCCTACGTTTGTTATTTCAAGGATAGTTAAAGCAAGTTATGTGTCGCATCCTTACAAGAAGAGGTATGCAGCTAAATAATACTAGCCTCTGATCAGAACAACTTTTCCTGACCTTTATTGAAATAGAATATTTGCCAAGCACAAACCTACCGAGCACAGATGGGAGTAGAGGATAGTCTAGATTATCTGAATTCAGACTAGCCTTAGTCTGAATCCAGGAATATCTGTTACAAGAAACTGTGGTAGCATCCAAAACAGCAGTATTTATCAAAACCTATAAACCCCTGAAATTAAGGGTTATTTCACATATTGGGCAATAAGTGTGTCTTCTGGATAAACTATGCTAAAATCTGTTTTTGTTTAAAAAAAGAGAATGGGTTACTTTTTTTTCATTAAAATTTCCTAAGATCTGGATGGTGCTGTGTCATAGGCTTCTTTAGAAAATTCTAAGTTCAGATAATGCACTTAGTAGGGGCAGCCAGGGCTCCAAAATGAGAGTGTTATGTTTTAAAGTCTGAAATAATTTAAAGAGGATAGGAATCCTGTTGAAATAGAGCTTTCATTGACGTATATGAATTTTTTCTTATTTTTCATTTTCACAATGCAAAAGCAGTCTTAAAAATTGGATTCAGCATAGCGTGTAATTAGCCACTCTTTAGAAAGGAGTTTGGTGCTGGCTCAGCTTTGTTTCTGTAATACAGTATTTTTGCTGCGGCATTACTGAGAATTTTTGCTGTTATTTTAAGATGCCTGTTTTTGTTCTTGTATGGTTCCACTAGAAATGCCATATCGAGGCCCACTCAGGTTAAATTGCTTGCCCGAAGCTACTTTGGGAACTGTTAATGCACCTCAGGAGTACGTTACCCTACCCATCTTTCCTGAGTAGTTCTGCTTAGTGCTTACACTAGCATTGCTGGCGTGGTAGCTCACTCATTGTCAGTGGTCCACCTTGTCGTGTTAACAGCATGCTGAACACTTCTGAGATGAAGTGTTGTGCAACTCCTACACTGTTGCTAGTCTTTGATCACAAAAGGCACTTACTTTCTATCTTTTAATCTCCTTTACTTACTAGCTGGTGTACAGTAGTTTCCTGTGGGCCTTGATGTGCCTGTTCCCTTCTCATTTTGAGTTCCTTATTTCACATCTGACCATTACCTTTTCTTCTTGGCGTTTGGCTCCCAAAGCTCCAACAACACCAGTTTGCTTTACTTGTGCAGCCTGTTGACCTTGCTTATTTTTTCACTTATATCTCTGTTCCTGTACCCTAACAAAAATTCTCTCTGTGGTCAAGGTTAAGTTTCCACAAGAAATTGTTAGCTGTACAAATTATACTTGCATACTGAACAACTTGTTTGACAGGAGCACTTCTCTTTTTTTCATTGTTGGTACTAGGAAATATTTTGTTTCATAGGAGGAGAGATTATTTCCAACTTGTCCCTTTGCAATATGATTGCTGTACCATGGGTTAATTCCTAAGCCCCCAAGTGACATAATATCTGTGCTTGTAGTAATGAAAAATTGAGACTGGAAACCAGAATTGGTTTGAAACAAATATGAAGTTCCTCCTGGCGACACGAATCACTGCAGTCTGACCTGACACTTTCTTAGGGTGCCCCAGCTGCATGGACCTTAGTAAGGTATCTTCTTGTATTGCTGGAAAAACTGGATAAGGAGAAGTTAGAAGGGAAGACTGGCAATAAGTGATCTCTTCCTTTTTTGTTCCTCGTTCTGCCTCTCCTAAAGTGATTCTGCTTAGAAATGATTTACATAACAAATAGGTTAGGTAGGTGGGAAGGATGTCTGAAACTGAAGTGCCCTTTGGGGAGGCAGCAGTGGGGCTTCGAAGACCAGTACCAAACAAAAGTACTCAAAGAAGAGTAAATACAGTAGCAATGTGTTGAAGAACATGGGTATGAAGGCAGTGGAGCGGATGGGTAACTGTGCATTGTGACAGCAGAAAACATTTCAAGGTGAAAACATGGGTGTCACATGGTGAAGGAGGAAACAAAAGCAACCAGACTTTTTTTCCCTCTTTGATTCTTTTTTACCTACTTCTCCACAATCCATTTCTCTCATTCACCATTTTTCTGTTGGATACAATAATATGTCAATAATATGTTTTCTTTACTTGCTGTCTTCCTTCAAGTAGACACAGTGTTGTTTTTCTTTATTTAGACTTTGAGTTAATTGGTTTTGAGTCTTGGTTTTTGTTTACTATACGATATGAATGGAGCCTCCATAAGAAAGGTTGATTAGTAGCAGGGGAAAAAATCCAGGTTTTCTTTGATTGTGTGGTGTCCTCAGCTATCATTTGGATTTGTAAAAAAAGTTTCCTATTGAATTAGTTTCCTGTTATCTTTTCTTTCTCTTTTTTTATTAATTGTGTGGTGCTACCAGTGAGTGATATACACTGCGTCTTTTTCATGTTCCACTTAAACAATCAATCGCTATCATCAGACTCTTTGCTTTTAAAAGGTGGCGACATAGTATATGGAGTGCATTGGTGGAATTAATGTTGAATCTCTGCAAGAAATTTTAAAAGATTCCACAGGAAATAATTGGCAGCTTCCCAAGCTACATAATTATAGGACAGTCAGAGTGTATAATTAAAGTTAACAGTGAAGAAAATGATTGGAATAAAGCTTTGTGACAGATAATTTTTTTTTTGTTTTGTTCTTTCGGAGCAGACAGGTGCCTTCCCCATTTCCAATTTGCTTCTTTCCAAAACTACTTCAGCTTCACGTTCTACTAATTTTAAAAATAAAATTATAAGTTGCCATTTAAAACACTTTTTTTCAGTGAAGACATCTTGAGTTTTTTCTTATTGGTAACGTGTAGCAGTGTGTCTTCAAAACTTTCCGGAGAGTAAAAAGGGTCTGAAAAAAAATCTTTCCATGGAAATACTATTATGCCACCACTGCTATTAATATCTCCATTTACTGCTGCTATGTCATTGATTTGTTTCTGAATTTGTGCTGCAAGATTATTCAGATCCAATTTGTTTTCAAGATAAAAGGAGGAGAGAGGTATAAATAGATGAAATGTAAATATTTTGTATGCTTATGTGTTCGTAGGTGTGTATTCATTTGCCTGATTTTATTTTTTTGTATGCATGGACTTCAGTGATTGCTGATATTGATGTGAAATAATGATATTTACTTAATTTGGTGTAAAGTGCAAACTAAAGGAACCAAAATGGAACACTCCTTTTATTTGTAATCCCAAAAGAGACATATTGTAGTTGTTGTCGTGCCGTGTCTGTGCCTGGGATGGAGGCACTAGCTTTGCAGTTTTGATAAGTTGACCCCTATACAGACAGTGTTCATTCAGGTGTTCTTGATAGCAGGCAGCAAAAATCAAAGCTCCAGTTGTGAGTGGATTGCCATTCATCTTGGATCTTGGCGAATTTCACAGCGTTTACAGGCAGAAAAAGCAGATGCCATGGGGTAAACTGAATTTACAGCAACAACACCTTAGCTTCTAGTGCAGTGCCATTGAAATATTCTTTTATTTTACCTTTTCCTCACAGTCATCTAACGATAGCGATAACCTTCACCTGGGAGGGAGTGTACGATTTTACTTAGAGGTTATTGTATTTCACACATACTGTGTCTCCTCGTTTTCTTTAAGCCCAAGAGATTGGTGCTTCAGGCAGAAACTGCAAACAAACTTGGCAGCTCCAGGTCTGAGCATTGGCTATCTACCTATTTGGATTCTGCCCAGCTGGCTACCCAAGTTTATGACCAATTCTTTGTCGTTTATTAGATTAGTAGGTTCTTGATATGTCTAGGGAAAAATAAGTGTTCCTTGGAAAGAAATAATTTTACTGTAGCCTGAAATTCAAGTGCCTCATCTATAGAAGAGAATGTTTGTCCCTTTTCCCACTAATATTATCCATTTCATGCAAGTATTTGTTAGACATTGGGTGTAAAATTTTCAGTATAAAGTATTCTCACCAGGGTGGGAAATCAGTGTTGAAATCCATGATGAAAAATTGGGCTTATTAATTCCTTTGTATATTTTATAGTTGATCCATTGCTGCTACATTTTTGCGAACGATGTGTGAGATATTTAGTGGTATGCTTCTAAATTTTCTGTCCTTGTGTTGAAAACATTTTAAAATTTACTAAAATGTTCCAAATCAGAACAAAGTTTGGACTTTGCTTGAGCCAAGAGTTCTTTTGATTACCTGAAAATTAAAAATTGAGCTGGTTTAGGGTCAGAAGTAGAAAATCCCTTTCCCCTGCATCTGCTGAGCTGGAAATTCAGGTATTCACACAGCTGTGATGCAGAGACACTTCTTCCCCAGCAGCTAGTTGAGTTGCTGCTTTTGCGGGAGGTTGAGGAGGAAGTTCTCTTCCTTTTGAAGCCTTCAAAAGTCACAGCGGAGAATCAAGTGCTGTTTGCGAGTGCCGGTGCTGCAGGCGGGAAGATGGCTGGC